CGAAACAAATAGTGCCAGACCTCATTTTTTTTATTAATTATTTGACGATTTTTTTACATTTTTTCTTCTTTGTTAGATCATTTAGGACCAAGGGCGTAGCCATGATGTAAGTTTAGTGCCCCCTGGTTATGAACTAAAAATATACTTCGTACTTTGTATGTGAATGAGTAAAGAATTCAAACATAAAGACTAAAATACATTAAATTTTAGAAACCATTCCTAATATTCCTAATACATGATCGAAAAAACAGTAATAGACAAAAATGTTACAGTTTATTAGTAAAATTTTAGCAAAAACCTATAAAATCTATAACAATATATTTAGGCAGTACATACAATATACTACGTGTGAAACTAAAATGTTAGCTGAATACGACCTTCTTTGACCTTCGCGCTCATTGATGACCAACCCAACATCAATTTTGTTGGTAAATTCTTTTTCAATAAAGATGCATATACGATCAGCATGAACGGATGAAATATTAGGAGTATCAATCAAGACATTAAACTCTTGGCTGATTTCTGTACTTGTAGTAAGCTTAAAATAAATCCAAAGTCGTTTGTGCCCTTTTAGGAGTGGATTATGTAGTAATACATACTTTAATTGACTAAAATTAATGAAATAATTGACATAGTGTTCTCAATCATATTATCCTTTTTAATATGTTATTATGTTAAGAAATTCATAAGTAATTCATCTAACCTGTTAACCTATTGAAAAATGGTAAAAGCATACCACAATGTTAATGTGGTTTAAGGCTCTCAAGTAGTTATAAATGATATTTATAATCTTGTCGTAGGATTGTGGTTGTGTTTTAAGTGGGATATCTAAATTTACCATTTACCATAGCATGAAGCTTACAATGTGAATATAGTATACTTTCTGTTTCTACAATGTTAATGTGGTTTAAGGCTCTCAAGTAGTTATAAATGATAAATAGGACTCCCTTCGTCCCTCAATTATCTTCCAAATTTCCTTTTTCTTCCGTCCCAAAATAATCTCTTATTTCCCTTTTGGCAAAGAATTTGTGGTTCACGGCATTTCTTACACATTTGTCTCTCCTTTGCACAACTCTCTACAACACCATACTCACTCTCTTAATCCCTGTATCAAATGTACTTTGGAAGATAATGTAGGGGCAGAGGGAGTACCATTCAAAAATGGTTTGTTTTGATTTTTGAGAGTACGGCTGCAGTCAATTTCTGTTCTGATGGCATTTTTTAATAATTAAAATAGCTCTTTATGATTCTTGCATATCTGGTGTATAATTTGCTTTTCTTTCATTTCGTAAGTGTATAAACTGATCATTTTGCTAGTAGAATGATCCTGTTTCGCCATAAGATGTAAAAGTTTGTACCTACATTTAGTTGACCAAACACCAAAAGGTAGAAATAACGTTGGTAAAAAATAAAACTCCTTTTTTCTTGGATGAAGTGTATTCATCATATTATTTATGTAAAATCATATTTTTTCTTATCTTTCTCTCCCAGGTGAATGTTCCAAAGACTAAGAAGACCTTCTGCAAGTCAAAGGAGTGCAAGAAGCACACACTGCACAAGGTCACTCAATACAAGAAGGGTAAGGACAGCCTTGCTGCTCAAGGAAAGCGTCGCTATGATCGTAAACAATCAGGTTATGGTGGACAAACCAAGCCCGTCTTCCACAAGAAGGTACACTTCTCATTTATAATCTGTTGTATTTCCAAAAGTCCTTATTTTTACTGGTGTTATACCTTTCTGTTTGTCTAACCAGGCTAAGACTACAAAGAAGATTGTGTTGAGACTTCAATGTCAGGGATGCAAGCATGTTTCCCAACATGCAATCAAGGTTTGTTTTTAACACCGCCGATGCTTTAGCTTTTAAAAGACCTATAATTTGTCCAATTTTTAGTTGACATACTGGTGCTCTGGTTGCAATGCAGCGGTGCAAGCATTTTGAGATTGGTGGGGATAAGAAAGGAAAAGGAACTTCGCTTTTCTAAGTTGCTGAGGCAGAGCACTTCATGCGCTTTTACATTCTTCCTGTTTTTGGTGTAGCATGTGACGCCGTTGTGCGTCTTTTACTAATCAGTGATGACAATTATTATCTCTGTTTTTGAATTTCTTGATCTAAATATACTCGTAACGTTCTTCAATAGGACATTTTATGATTGATTATTTGAATGCTTGCCTGCAATTAAGGTAGTAAGACTGAGGCTATTTCTTGACCAGCTTGTTGCCATCCACAATTAGGGTACCTGCATAACTGTCTACTATCCAGTGATGTGATCTTAAATTAATTTTTTCCCCAATACTTATAGCCTTATAGGATGTATAATTATGACACACTTTTGTCCCGTTGTTTCGTTCCCCGGCAGCCATGGTCATAACAGTTTTCTGGGTGACGACTGACAACCAAATGATTCTGCCTTCAAACTGTTCAAAGTGTTAAACGACTACTTCCTTCGTCCCTTATAACTTTGCCAACTTTACTTTTTTGGATGTCCTATTAACTTTGCCATTTTCTCATTTAAGTAAAGAATTTGTGATTCCTATTAATTCTCTCTCCTCTGCACAAATCTCAACCACACAATTTTTACTTTATTAATCCACGTGCCGGTCAAACTTGGCAAAGTTATTAGGGACAGGAGTGCAATACAATATGGCCCCACAAGTTTGGTATCTGACAGATCTGTTCTTTTATAGAGTAATAGAACCAGAAATATAAGATACTCTGTATCTTTCTGTTGAAAGTTCTGAAGTTCCGACTAAAGTGGCTGCATTGGTTGATTCTGCTGATTTAAGAAAAAAATATTTTAAAAATGTATTTTATTAATAAAATAATGAAAACATTATATGTAAAAATAGTTAAAATGGTCATCTACAGTAACTTCAGTCCATATAGTCAGAAAAGTAACTCCAACCTTACTTTTTCTGCTTATTAAACAATTTAGCGCGCAAAAGAAAAAGTTACGTGTTTGGTAAAAAAGTTGGTTGATAAGCCTGATAAGCTGAAAAACAGTGGTTCCAAACGGCCTCTGTATGTAGTATCTGCTGTTTTGAGTAGTTTTGGTAAAAGGTGAACTGGTGAAGTGTATATTAAATAGTTGAAATAAAATACATCAGAGAAACAAAGTGGCATACCGCATACCCCTTAATAGGGTTGGCTTGGGACAGGCCTGACTAGGGGTGGACCGGTTCCGGTTCGGGCCTGGGCCCGGCCGGGCCTCGGTTCAGAAAAAGGAGGCCCGAGCCCGAACCGGTGGTGGGCGGTTCCGGTTCCGGGCCAGAACCGGGCCTCCCGGCCCGAACCGGAACCGAACCGGTTCACCGGGCCGGTCCGGGCCCGCACAGTAGCGGGCCGGTCCGGTTCCGGGCCGGTTGGCCCGGCCCGAGTCCATTCCTAGGCCTGACCGGTTTGTGACCTGGACCGTCCCGCCACTGTGTGGGACTGGCTCGGCCCGGTTGTCCGGGACTGGGCGTAAGACCGACCTGGGGGGTTGAGAAGGGGTCGGCTCCGGGCAGTGGCGGACACAGGGGGTGACAAGGGGGGGCTGCTGCCCCTCCAAAAAAAATTTCTAAGTATATTTACCTTGAAATTTTTAATGTATATGTATTTCTATGTATTTTTTTGTACTGCCGCCCCTGCTATCGGAAATTCCTGTGTCCGTCGTTGGCTTCGGGGCTGAATAATTAGGGACTGGCATGTGCCTTTTTATTTTATTTTTTTGATTTTTTAGGTTTGGGCTTATGGTAGGTGGGCTGGGCTGGGTGTTTTGGTGGGGTTTGGGAAAGGGGGGTTGGGAGTTGGAATAAATAAGAACAACAAAAAAATAAAATAAAAAATTAAAACAATTGGCCTGACCTGGTCCCGGAAGATTCCCAGGCCCGTGTCGGGCTTCATCCCAAAAAACCAAGCCCGCCCGTGGCCGACCCAGAACCGGACCGAGCACGGTGCATCCCTATCCCTTGATGCTGGAGCAAAAGCAAAAGTGCAAAACAGGCTTTGCTCAGCCAACTATCTATACCAAATACAATAATACCTTCCATGGTCAAAAGTCAAAACATAAAGCAGTGCTAAACTAGAATTCAATCATACTAGTCTCTTACCCGTGCGTTGCACGGGATAATAGATCGATTATAAAATGATTTGACATTACGAAAAAGAAGTTCAATCTTGCAAATTAAGCCTTTATTCATATTTAATCATAGTAACTCTAAATTAGTTTGTATATGTATACTTCACTAATTGGACATAGGAGTTTTTCGAGTACTACTAACCATAAAACACATTTTGGTGAGTTACATGACTTATTAATACGGGATACATGAAATGAAATTTCAACATTTCATTTTTATTGCATAAATTTTAACACTTTAATAGTTGCTTTAGTAAGAAAAATTGTACTTGGTGACATTTTAGAGCAAGATTTTGTACGCCCTATACTTGTGCCAATTCTTGAATCCAGAGTATCGTTTATTTTACCAAAACCACAATATATACATTCAATAGGAAATATACATAGGCAAAAATTAATGTATAAATATGTAAGAGGAACTAAGCTAAAATTCCTAAAAATTTCATCCCACTATCATGAAAAAGAAAATTAGATTATGTTGAGTATAACACGGATCTAAATGTATTAAAATTATCCTCTATCCATTAGGAAATCTAAGCTCAAGGAGAGAATAATTGAACACCAAATTTTATCTTCACAACTGTTCCTTATCTTAAATAGAGAAAATCTCCAACATGTAAGTATATAATAAATAATAAATTTCAGGATGTTATCAAACAATTAACATGTAACATCAAAATTTAAAAATTAATTAGGCATTAGACATAGGTTAAAAATGCAGTTTATAATTGGAACTAAACTTATTTTTTGAAGATATGTAATTGTCCATTATGAATATGGACAATTAGATTTTTTAAAGATAAAACAACTTCAAAATGACCCGTGTCAAGTACAGTTTTATTCTCTTTCATTTATTTGTTAAGAAATCTATGCCTGAGAAGCAAAAAAAAATGAAATATAGCCACATATTGCATTTATCTCTTATTGTTATCAATAAGTTCTTTGGTAATCAGACCCCGAAAACAAATAACACCAATGTGTTCTTTAAAAAACAAAAGTGGAATCCATAAAAAATGGGAAGTTAATCTTGATTTCTAGTGGGCCTCAGACGGAGCACCGAGGTGAGAGTTATCCCCGTTTTAATGCAACTCATTTTCTGTTGAGCTTTTCTTCAAAATTAGCCACGTCTTGTGAGAAACTCACCCTTGAGTCCTAAAGAAACTCGTATAGATCAACCACATTGAAAGACTTCAAAATATTCATGTCTTTGGGAAGATCAATTGCATATGCATTACCATTAATCTTTTCAAAATCTTGTAAGGATCATATTTCCTCCGCTTCAGCTTGTTGAAGAATCCAACATAAATCTCTTCTTCCTTAAAAATATTATCACCTTGTCACCTTCTTTAAACAACTTCTGGCATGTTTTGTATCAACAATTTTCTTGTATTTCTCATTTTTGGCTTCAAGTCTTGCTTAAACATCGGTCTGCATATCACGTACTTGAGTTACCACTTACCATATTCTCTTATGCTACTACACTTTGAGCCATATTTAGGAAATTTTGCTAAATCCAACGCATGTCTAGAGGCTGCCTGTAAATCAAAGAGAAAGGGGGTTAACAAGTAGCTTAATAGACTGCATAATTATATGCAAATTCGGCTTGTGCCAGTGCCACATCCCATTGATTCGGTTTGTCTCTACAAATGCTACGAAGCAGATTGTCCAACCTACGATTGAGGTTCTCCATTTGCTTAAAAGATTCATCATACTTTTGTGTAGGTAGATAGCCATAGTTTGTATAACAGGTTAAAAGAATTCTAAAGAAATAAGTAACGAAAGATTCATCACCACTAATTTTCATTATTATGTTTCAAATTGTCAAGAGAAAATATGTTTTAGCATCCTCAGTGTAAATTTAGTGCTTGAAAAACCCATCATATCATACTGCTTTCCTTGGGTCTCAAAATATGAAAAAATATCGTTCGTTCATAAGAGAAGAACCTCTAGAACCATCCCAAAATAAGTCTCAAAAACTCAAATCACTTTCTTGCCCTCATTCAAAATGCTTGCAATAGAAATAAGTTCAAACTTTGTCCTAACAGTGAGATTCCCCAGCATGTTACATTTCATTAATTAAAGGGAAAAATATATCTATTATACAATGAAATGAATAAGTAAGTAATAAACATTGCTCTCTTAGTGGTTGGAATATCAAAATAAAGCAAACTTTCATTAAAACCTGTAAATTGACAATGAAAGTAATACATCCAAGCAGAGCCACAAAATACCATGGATAGGTATGGTAAAAAAAAGTGTTATAAAGGCATTGCAAAACAAACCTTAAATCCGGTATGGTGCCAGTATAGATTTCCATGAAACTATAAAGGATTATCATTTTCATCTTCATTTACCCCAGTGCCGCAAAGGCTCCCACCTACGTTGGGGTAAGGGAGAGTCGGATGTACGCAGTCTTACCCCTGTACTAAAGCACAGAGAGACTGTTTCCAGATGACCCATAGTGAAAATCGTGTCCAAAGTTGCATGGCACTGCTTGCTACTTCATAACAAAGAAGCGCAGACAGTTTAGGGAGCCATTTTGCTTTATTCCATCATATTCTCAAGCAAAAAATAATGAATTTTTGGCTCCATTTCAAACGATGGAAAGAAATCATAAGGGATTATAAGTACAATAGTAGTCATTCCATGAGAAGAATTGAAAATATAATTATTCATTTCATGGGTTATACAATCACGGTTTGTAATAAAGCATCTAAATAGGTCACTTTTTTTATCCTTAGTATATACTCCATACCACTCTCTATTTTGCACTTTGGTACATACTCAACAAATAAAAGTATACATTTGGGGCTCCATCCAAGTCTTGGAATAGTGATTCCTAGTATTATCATGCTAGTATTATCTAAGTCTTGAAATTTATGTATTGATGTACTATAATCTACAAAAGCTCACTTGAGAAAGAGCATATATTGGCAAATTAACTTGTAATGTTCATATATTAGAGGATGCAGATTCCCCAAAAACATTATGTGAAATGTATAGACGAAGTAGAAAAGAATACCCAACAAAACTTTGAATGGGGTGGTTAGTTCTAGCCATTATAAAAAAAATCGTATATAGAGATAAAATGCAGTGAGCAAATAGAGCATAAAAATTAACCCATAATACATACTTTATTGGAGTTCTTAATGGACCCTAGAGAAGGAAGGAAGGCCATTTTTTGAACGGCATAGATTCACAATCCTTTTATTATACTGAAAAAATGTGTGCTCTAATAGAATACATTCTTAAGTGATATCAACCTAGCAAATTGGAATTCGGTTTCAAATATAAAATGGATTATACAATTTAGAAAGATACTTCACCTCGAGCTCAGTTTGAATCAGTTGGATTTCGGCCAAGATGAAGGGTCCGTTTGTTTTTTGGCGGTTTTACACCAAAGTACCAAACCATTGCAAAGAGCAGCGTTTAGCTTTGTAAAAAATTGGTGGTTTGGCCTAAGCCGCCGATATCCAAACAGGGGCAATGGCTGTATCATAAAAATCCATATTTTTAGCAAAAGGGGAAGACGAACGAGTTGAGATACATTGATGCAATGGTCCCTGAGTTTAGGAGGGATACTTAAGTGGATTAATTAAGTATATATAGGTAAATAGTACTTCGTATTAAGAATGCTCAACCTTAATAAGAGAAACTTAAACTGTGTTTTCCTAAGGTCTCGTACATCCTGAATCATATATGGCCAAAAAGGACTTAATTGCCTCATATGCAAAATGGTCAATAAGAACATAAAAGACCGACAACCATTGAAACAGTGCAATTCAGTAAAGCCCCTCACTTTTCAGCACAAAACAATTGTTTTTGAGATTAGGATTCTAAGAGTTTAGCAAAAACTTGATACTCATTCATACATTTAAAGTGAAATTGAAATAATATGAAGAGCAACTCAAAACAGTTATGTTTTAGTTTAAAAATCTGATATTTCCCAATGTTGATCACAGTTTGAGATCCAATTCTAAAAGCTAACCTCTGATAATATGAACAGTAGCTCAAACCATTCTTTTTAAGCTTAAATTTTTGAGTTTCAAGATGTTCTAATTAAATTTGAGATGCAGTCCTATAAAGGCAATGCAATAGAATATGAAATCTATCTGTACACAATTAATATTTTTGAAAAGTTATGACTTTTCAAAACGTTTGACTAAAATTTGAGATTCACTCTATAAAGTCAAACTAATTATGAAAATGAGCTCAAAACTGAAAACAATTGCACTTTTTACGTTCTAGAATATGCCAGTTTACAGGTATGGGAGCAAAGTGAATTGAACTAAATATGAAAATATAGATTTGAGATAGAATACTAACCGATAATAATAATAATAATAATAACAACAACAACAACAACAACAATAATAATAATAATAATACTCGTAGTTATAACAAATGATAATGTCCACAAAATGAAAATCAATCAATCAGAACCACTATTTCAAAAATAGTACAGAGTAATAATAAAGAAAAAAAAGTTGGAGAGTATAGCCCTCTTGTATTTAATTTTAATGAAAAAAGGGAGCTCCAACTACCTCCAAGAATCACTCTGTCCAGATCTATCATTTTTAGTGTACAACAGTCCAAAAAAATCTTCAAAGATACAAAGCTCATAGAAATGGCCCAAAAAGAATACATGGAACAGTGTGTGGTAAAAATTGGAAGCAAAACTATATTGACATATCTTTGCTAACTTCACCTAGTCATCTTCCAACATTAGAAGATGTTCTAATACTGATACTAATTCACACAAAAGGTCAAAAACAGAAATTGATGAAGCTTGCAACAATATACACAAACAGAAGCAAACAAATGAAATGGTACTCGAAAATGCAATTAGAATTACAAACATGACCCAAACTAAAGAAGAAGTAGGAGGAGGAAGGAGGGATATATACCATTCAAGAAAAGAGAAGTGTTTGGAAGCCAACATTAAATGTAAAAGTTTTTATTTTTATACAGAAAGAGGAGCAAACAAATGACCCAAATTAAAGGAGAAGGAGATACCATCCAAGAAAAGAGAAAGCGACAGGCAAGAGAAGAGCTTGAAATCCAACAGAAGCATTGAGGTTATGGAAAGCAGCATAGTGAGCATTGCCATTGCCATTGCCATTGCCAAGTAACCCTTCATGTTCACCAGAACCATTTTCATCGGCGTCCCAATTGGGCTCCAAAATCTTAGAGATATAAACAAAGTCGGTGTCCATGACTTCCCCTCCTTCGAAGATGGCACCCCCCTCGGTGACCGTTTCCCCGACGGCGTCAGAATATATCTCAGGCGTCGACGTGCGTGGTGTCGCCGGTATTGATATCAGATGCACCCGAAATAATAGAAGAAAGTTTGAGGAGGAGGCGATGCTTTGGACTTGCAAAAGAATAGAAAGAATAGAAAGAGTAGCCTTATTTACGCAAATGTCCCTAGCCACGAGCGAGTCTGATTCGAAAGAATAGAAAGAGTAGCCTTATTTACGCAAATGTCCCTAGCCACGAGCGGGAAATAGACTTAAGCGGATTAATATATATAAAGATTTCAGGGATATATTCTAAACACATCTCGGCAAAAGTGATCTAATTTGCATCACAAGGCTTTGGATTAGGGATGGACTGCGACCAAAAATTTCAGGACCGGTACCGGTTGGGCCCAAACCGCCTCGGGACCGGGATGGGACGTGTATGCGCAAAAAAATAAAAAATACTGCAATCAGCCCCGAAGCCCGCCCTCATAATCACCGGGCCGGGCTCCGGGCCTAAACAGGACCGGGCCGGGCCCAGGGACGGAGGTATGCATTGCCCCTCCCAACTTTTCATTCTTTTCTATAATTTTAGTAATAGTGTTCCCATAATCCCCTTTTTTGTGCTTTGATTTTTTAATTTCTTATGTTAATTTTTGTTTTCATCCACTTAATATACTATTCTATTACATTAAAGTGATGGAATATAGACAACGTATTACTTATGAATAAAATATGTGGAGTATACGTTAAAATTGGTTACTTTATTTCAATTACATTTAATTAAGTAGATAGAATTATTCATCTTATAAAAGAAAGATTTTAAAAAAGTGAACATGTCATTATAATTTTGAGTTTTTTAATCGTCCTACAAAATCTTACAAAATATATTCAACTACACAACAAATTTTAATACAATGTGTTCTTCTATTTATACGGTACATTTGATAGTTTGTTTTTATGTAGTACATTTTGCCCCCCTCCAATAAAATTCTGGCTCCGTCCCTGGCCGGGCCTAAATAGTAACAGGACCGGGACGGGACGGGCCGACCCGTCCCAGTCCATCCCTACTTTGGATGACTTACTGTTTTCTTTGCAAAAATAAAATCATTCAAAAGGGAATCCTAGCTTCCCATATGGTGTAAATTGAGCAGCAGGAAATGACTGAAATGAGTCTGATGGCCTTGTATGAAGTGCAGCCTCTTTAATGTTTGAGACACATCTTCACACGTAAATGTATCTTTTTTGAAATGAAGCCAAACTTTATAATCAACCTCCACACGAAGTCTAGCTCCTTGAGTAGTTTAGTTAGCTTAAATTTGCTATCACATGTATCATGTATGTCTGTTGACCACTTGACCATACTCTTCTTTCTTCACTTAGTACGACGTTTTATGTTGAAATGATCTATAGGGCAAAAATAAGGATAGCCAACAAAAACGAGACTCGATAGTCGGCCACAATTGCGTTTTTTTTAGTTCACCTTTTGTGTGTGGAAGAAATAGGCACAACACATAATTCAGATTATGTGTAAACAGACAAAATGATTTCTGACAACCGCCGTCCCGTGAACCGGACTCAGAATTAATCACCTCCAACTAAGCAATATAATTCCCTGATCCATAAATGGGCAGAAATGAGCCAAAGACGGTTACCGTAAATCCATAATCCTCTCATCACTCACAACCAAACCCAACGTTTTACAAGCAGGAACAATAAAACCGAAGCAAAGTACAAAACAGAAATAGAAATCACTAGAATAAAAAACAAAACAGATAAAATAAATCCTCTTAATTCACGGTTGTTAAAACTTAAAATTGCTTGAAAATGCACCTGTGCTGTACGGTCCCACATGGGGTGGCATCGTGCCATGTCGGGGCCAATGGCAAGGGGGCGGCCGGGTTTGGGACGGGGGTTCACTCCCCCATCCCCACCCCATGTCTAAGTAAATTTCCCTATCCGCTGTTACTCCCAGACCCGTCCCATCCCCGCCCCACCCCGCTGTCCTCATGGGTGCCCCCATATATATATATATTGATTATCTTATATGTGTATTTTTTTATTCATTATATATAGACAAATTTTCGCAGCCAGCCTGACGGGAATAGGGGTGGACTCGGGCCGGTTCGGGCCCGGTTCGGGCCTGGGCCCGGCCGGGCCTCAGTTTAATTTTTTTTGGCTTTTCATAATTAATCCCCAACCCTCCCCCCTCACCCCCAACTCAACCCAAACCACCTCAAATGGCCCAAAATACCCAACCCCAAAACTTAAAAAAAAAAAAAAACAGAAAAAAGAAAAAATAAATAAATTGAACCCCAGCCCGAGCCCTTCCGGGCCGAGTCACCTTTTGAGGGGCCCGAGCCCGGCCCGGAACCCCAGCGGGTCGGGCCTACCCAGACCGGTCCCTGGCCGGGCCGGCGGTTCGGGCCGGTTCAAACAGTGACCGGGCCGGGCCGGGCCGCCCGGCCCGAGTCCACCCCTGGACGGGAACCGCCGTCCGGCCGAGCCCGTTTCGGGCACTTCTCGGTGGAATTTTTTGATGAAATTGTTTGAGCATGTTCTTCGTCAAGTCTAGTTTATCCATACCAAATTTCAGTCAAATAATTTCTTGAAGATAACTGGACAATTTATAATTGCCCAATTCTAGAATAACATAAATTTGGGTCCATATGTGAGTTATGCAAATAAGTGGAATAAGAAGTTGGAAACGGGGTTATGACTTTGTTTCCGTCTATTTAACCATGGCAAACTCCCCATTCTCATGCTTGATTTTATGTGATTTAGATGCATCTTGGTTTATTATCACGCAGAGATTTGTTTCATTTTTGTTGTGGTATTGAAATGAGGGTGACGAATCTTTTTTATATGTATATGTTGCTGAAATTCCAATTATAATGTCTCTCCTAAGCAGTTCATGCACATCTAAAAATTGTTTGGTAGGGAATTAGTCAAAAGCGTGTCTTGTACTCATGTGGGATGTGTAGTTTTTGTTTTCATGCGTTACACACAACTGCTAGTAAATTCTGGCCTTTTCATCATCATTATTTCATATGAAATTCCAACTGGTTTTCCTCAACTCATTTTAACAATGTGGACTTGATGTTTGATTGCATTTATACAGAATAATCAGAGTCATACCTCATTGTGTTTTTTGTTTTAGTATTTGGTTGCTTTTTTACATGATTTGTTTCTCCATTCGACCACTTGTGATATTTATAATCTTGTCTTAGGATGATGGAAGATTTGGTATTGATCTATTTGGGATATATAAATTTACCATTTTACCTTAGCATGAAGCTTTCATTTAAAAGTTAATATGCTTTCCGGTTCTACAGTGACAATGTGGTTTTAGGCTCTCAAGTAGTTGAAATGATAAATATTACCATTCAAATGTTTTATTTTGATCTTTTTGAGAGCCAGGGTGCCATCGCTATCTTTTATCATTCTTGCATATCCGATGTGTATTATGTATATATAAGCTGAACTGTTGAAGGCCTTTCACTTGGTAAGTGAAAAAACTTGGCATTTTGTTAGTGGAATGGTCCTGTACTCTTTTCTCGCTACTATGAACCATGCCCCATTAAGATGTTTTTACTTACATACCCGTTACTGGAAAAAATTTCCATCGTTTGTGATGGAGCCAAAGATTCATTATTTTTTGGCTTGAGAATATGATGGAATAAAGTAAAATGGCTCACTAAACTGTCTGCGCTTCTTTGTTATGAAGTAGCGGTCAGCCCACGCAATTTTGGACGCGATTTTCACTATGGGTCATCCGGTAACAGTCTCTCTGTGCTTTAGTACAGAGGTAAGACTGCGTACATCCGACCAGTGGCAGAACTAGAAAAAACATTAAGCAGGGGCACAATCGCATTAGGAGTGGCGGCTTGACTCTGGGTCTCTCCAGTCATCGTTGCTGCTTGCTTGCGCTGCGCCCAGGGAACTGCTTAATTGCGTTTCCATAGCTTGGGCTGGTTGTTGGCTTTGGCCTCTGTTCTTTCATTGGTTGGGATGTTGAGTTGTGGGTCTGTCTTGGCCCGGAGGTTTAGTTTTTTTTTCCTGGCTTCAAACGGTGTCGTTAGAGTGTCATACTTAAAAATATAACTGCACACTTCGCCCAATTGATCGTCCCTGTCCAGCGCTATGCTCCAAAAGCAAAACCGGCCATCCAAGCTCGCCGGAAATAGTGGAAAAGACCAGTCCGGCGGCTCCCAAACCCCTAGATATACCCTAGCTCATCCGACCTAAGTAGGGGCACCTGCCCCCCTTGCCCCCCCCCCCACCAGATCCGCCCCTGCATCCGACCCCCTTGCCCCCCCCCCCCCCCCGCCAGAGCCTTTGCGTCACTGGGGTAAATGAAAATGAAAATGAATGACCCGTTACTGGAAAATCATTAGAAATGAACTGTGAAAATCCGGTTCAGTTCCTATACATGAGTTATAAATGGTTGACGATTTGATTCTTGTTCTTTGTTAACTGTTGGGTTCCTGATTCCTACAAAAAATACGTCTACGGAACAGTCAAGAAACCGTTGTTAAAAAATAAAAGTTTGAAAATATAATTGGTAATGATAATAATAATAATAATAATACTAATAATAATAATAATAGTGATAATAATAATATTAACATTAATAATAACAATAATTATAGTAACAATCATAGTAATAATAATATAATTGATGACATTTAATCACACAACAATTTAAATCTAATTGATGGAAGCAGATGAGGATGAATACATTAACCTCGTTTTTTTAAAAACATAATTTGTTTCATCACTGAAATTTCATTATTACAAAGTAAATGAAATTAATTCGTGTTGGTTCGATATATTTTTTCTTTATAATATTTAAGATGATTTTAATTATGAGATTTAGCGAAAATAATGCTCCTAAGATTTGAAATGTAATGATATTTTTTGGGCAAATCTTTCTAACTAATTATGATATCTGTTCTGTTAAGGCCAACATTCTTGAAATGGGAGAGATTCGAACATGTGACCCACTTTTTGGAAGTGTCACAGAGTAATAATGTTAATAACTCATTATGTTTTACTTGGCTGAAATGTAATGATGTTAATAACTCATTATGTTTTTTACGTTTTGAGGAACTTGAACTAGATGTCGTATTCTATCATGATGACCCAACTTTTATTGATGTCAAGCAATAACGATTTCATATTTATTTACAAAAAAAAAATAAAAAATTATTTCATTCTATTAAGCGTTGAATAAATTAATTTTTGGACTTGATGTTTGAAGTGATAAGAGTTTCAAAAAGTACTTATTGCTTGTGTTTAAATTTTCTACATTTTTGCATTGGAGAAAGTAAATTGTGTTGATTTTTATGGAAAAAAATTTGTGTAGGAACCGATAAAAGTCAGAACATGATAATTTACTATTGGTTCGTTTCCATAACGGTTATTGAAATTTTAGGAGGGAAGGTGTCCCCAGTATGGATATTAAATGATTTTAATAGAATTTATAATTCCGTCGGAATTTAGGTGCCACTTATTTGGATTAATGTGGAATTTATGAAATCAGGGTGTTCTCGAACATTACATGAATTTCAATTATTATTTGTTTAGATGGATTTTGACAGATTTTGGCAGATTCCACATACAAAAACATTTCACCACAATCTTGTAGACTTCCTCTCGGATTTCAAAATCCTATGATCATTTAAAATTCATCAAAATCATAGTTAAATTGATTTGATTAGTTAGATTTTTTGTAAAGGTTCTGTTGGGCCTGCCGCGGGTCTGCGGTCAGCAATCTGCCAGCCTGCCGGTGCAATCGGACCGCGTGGCGCTTTGCCTGTTCTATAAAAGGGGGAAGGGCGTGCTACACTATCAGCGATTGCTTTTAGTGTAGCGGTAAGTGCAACGATCCACAATTGGTATCAGAGCCAAAGGTCACGGGTTCGACCCCCGGCAACAGCATGCTGCTTAGTTGTAGGCTGGCAGGTGCTGGGGGGAGATTGTTGGGCCTGCCGCGGGTCTGCGGTCAGCAATCTGCCAGCCTGCCGGTGCAATCGGACGGCGTGGCGCTTTGCCTGTTCTATAAAAGGGGGAAGGGCGTGCTACACTATCAACGATTGCTTTTAGTGTAGCGGTAAGCGCAACGATCCACAAGTTCTACTAATTTCATACAAGAACAATGCCTTTCTGGAATTTCAGCACTAATTTGCTAAAAAATTACGCGTATGTTTTGTATTAGTAGCCCTAATCGGCACTCTTGATTTTCGCGGTTTTTGGATCGCCCTGACACCACATTTTATTGGTTGGATTTTCTTCTAAGATGTTTTAATATCCGTTTTTTAAGAAATCTGTTCTTCACGATAAAAAAAAAGAAAAAGAAATCTGTTCTTCATAGTTTATCTTCCATGTATTACGAGTTGCAGTTTTGTTTCGGATTTTTTTTCCCTCTAATATATTTTAAAAGTTACTGAATTGCCTGTTCTAGTATTTCTGCTGTGAGTGAAGTTTTTTATTGGAAGTTTTGCGATTGGATATGCCTGTTTCAGTCTCACTGTTTTTTTCCTTCAATATTCATACTCCGTATACAGTATTACTGTGATGTAAATATGTGATGTTTTTTTTAACTTCCGCGTTGCCATATTATGCGATTTTTTTTATATTATTTTTTAGATTTGCCTGTTCGTTATGAGTTATAACATGAGGAGGCTTCATTGCTTGACCATACCTGTTTGTTTCAGTGGCTTGGAAGATCCACTATGTGATCTTTTTCAGTTTATGATGAATTAAAGCCCTTTTTTAATATAAATATTGCAGACAGATTCCTTCAGTTAGGGGAAGCTATTTATTTGTAATTATTTTGGGGCCAAAGAGGAGAGTCCTGGTCTCCTGGACTTGGAGGTTGATCTGCATCTATAGTTCAATAATCAGCTGAGTAATTAATCTATACATTCCTTTAGCCATGGATCTCCCAAAGACAAAGAAGAGAAGAAGTACACGCCTCCTACTCAAGCAGAAGAAAAGAGTAGCTGAAGATGAACCCAAGACTACCTTTGGATGTTTGCCTCTAGAAATACCGAGTCTAAACTCCTCTATCTCTATTCATCTTTTAAAAATGAACTCCAATATGTTGATCTTTCAGACATTACTGAAAAAGGATTGATTGTGAATAGAATTGAAAATGCATTTTCCAATCTCACACGGTCACACCAAGATCGTTTTCGGTGCTTGGCTCATCCAATGGCATCATGCTCTTACAAGATCCATCTAACCAGAAATGGAATTGCATATATAATCTTTTCACAAGGGACTATAAACTTGTACCCAAACTGGACTCTCAACATTGCTGGTATTGTTCATATGGGGTTGGGTGCCATCCAGTTACCTATGATTACAAAACATTTCGTATACTCATCACATCAGACCGGGATGATTCTAGGTCAAAAGCCTATGTATACAGTCTGAGTAGGAATGAGTGGATACCATTAGGAGAGTTGCCTTATAAAATAGACCGCTTTTGTATACAAGGAGTTTTGGTCCATGGGAGACTCCACTGGCTTACTGTGCAAAACAAAGGGATGTCAAATGATCAAATCCTTTTCCTAATATAATATCAATTGACCTCATGGATGATTCTGTCAAGGAGGTTCCCATGCCTATGGAGGTTATATTTCGAAAAAGTAAGAGATCTCAACTTGTTGTTTTAGGGGGCCGGGATGTCTGTCGGTTGGCGTAAGAAGAATTGATTCAAGGATGCATATTTGGGTGATGAAAACATACGGAATGGAATTGTCTTGGGTGAAACAATATGTTTTTGGAAGTGATTTTCTTAAATTTGATCGCAATTGGAAGAGCCGTGGTGAGGAATGGTTACAGATTGTATGTCTTCTTAATAATGAGGAAATCTTGCTAAGATACGATGGATATTGTGGAGGAACTTTGGCTTCATACAATTTTGTTACTAAAAGTTGTAAGATTCTCATTTCTGGTGGAACATTGCCCAGACGGCCATTTAGGATAGAATATGACAGATGCTGGTTAGCTTAAAACATCATTTGACTCACATTCAAATAATGCTTTCTTGCTCCTCAAAAAAAGAAGCACATGTCATTTGGCCTTCCATTCTCGATCATGTAGCAGCTACTGCCTGATATCATTAGGTTCTCTATGCTTGTAGAGATGGTGGAGGAACTTCAACGCAGTAATATTTGTGTTATGTATGGTACACGATGTTCTTATGTTTAGCTGATCCCTTAATGGTAGATTTGTAGTCATGCAATAATCTTAATGTTATTGTCAAAGATCCTTGTCTTAAATGGATGTCCAACCTTTTTTGTTGGTGTCAGTTTTAAATTTTTATACTCCCTCCGTCCCTAATAACTTTGCCAAGTTTGACCGGCACGAGGATTAATAAAGTAAAAACTGTGTGGTTGAGGTTTGTGCAGAGGAGAGAGAATTAACTGGAACCACAAATTCTTTACTTAAATGGGAAAATGGCAAAGTTAATGGGACATACAAAAAAAGAAAGTTGGCAAAGTTATAAGGGACGAATGGAGTATACTAGAATGACATATATTTCGGTCCATATGTGACTTGTGCAAATAAGTGGAATAAAAAGTTGGAAAAGGGGTAAGACTTCGTACCTTCCCTTACCCCATCGTAGATGGGAGCCTTTGCAGCACTGGGATGAGGATGAAGAAGAAGTTGGAAAAGGAGTTATGACTGTGTCCCTTGGTGAGTCTTTATTGGCCTCTTCCCTATGGAAGTAAGGAGCATGGAAATATCAAGTAGCTCTTGTTTTCCCATTTTGGGAAGTCATAAGTACTTGAAAACTTCAAATTCCCATTCCAGATCCATTTTCGTAATTATTATGAGAAATTAATATATACTTGTCATTTTTAATTTATGCTCCGCATATATATATATATATATATCTATATAGGGTTGAGTTCAAATGAGAACGAGTCTTAACGTGAGAACGTGAGAACACATCCTGGCTTTTGATCTGGAGAAACAGACGGTTCTCTTATTGGAAGGTGCATGATAAATCATACACCGTATCACACACAAACACAGATGACAAAATTATTTGAGGATGCGTGGGATGACTAAAGGGTAAAAAGGTCAAAAGAATGAAAAGATACCTTTAATGTCTACGATTTTCTAGCTTTCTTTAATCGCTTGGAGGCTATCAACTAGCAAAAAATTAGGAAAAGATAAAATGTCAAATCATATAAATTCCTTCAATTTTAAAATTGATTTAACTTTTAAAATTATAATCTAATTTTAACAAAAATTATATCAAATTAAATAATTTTTTATTACCTTTCGTAAGACACCAATATGACATATATAATTTTGTTTTAAAAAAATAGTATAATATGTGTACAATAAACCGCAACAAACATCTTCAGGTACCGCATGCACAAGAACATGTAGCTAACACACAAACACTAATATCTAAAACACAAGAATGACTATCTAACACACATGTATAAGAAAAATTAAAACGAGTATCTTAAGCACAAAATCCAATATTCAATGCACAAAGAACATTCTATTGCTCACAACAACTAAAAACTAATTAATATCTAATGCATAAGGATTTCACACAAGTTAAACTTATAAATAACACACAAGAATCAATACGTAATGCACAAAGAACAATATCTAACACACAAAATTAAAAACTGCGGAGTAATTAATATCTAAATGCATAAGGATTTCACACAACTTAAACTAATATATAACACACAAGAATCAATATCTAATGCACAATACGAATATATCAATCACAAAAAGCATGATCTAACACACAACAATAAAAAAACTAATATCTAACGCCCAAGTACTTCATATAGTACACATGAACTAGTATCTAAGGCACAATATATATACCTTAAACTCTTATCTACCACATAATATGGACATAGAGAATCACAACAAATATGTCGTGCACAAAAACCATTATCAAACACACAATCCTTAATATGTAATGCACATGAATCGATATCTGACACACAACACATTTATGGAATTCACATAAATCAGTATGTCAAATCATGTGAGTATTAAAAAGAAATATTTAAGGGATACGGAAATTAATCTTTCCATTTGTAGAAATGTAGAACAATCGGATGTATTAAATGCCAACTAGTGTTATACGAAAATGCCCTTCAGTTGATCGCAGATGGTTATTAATTTTGGATGGCTGAGATGTGTTCTCTTGTTCTCACGTTAAGACTCGTTCTCATTTGAACCAAAATCTATATATATATATATATATATATATATATATGTAGATTAATTATATTACGTATTATTTAGTACGTATTCCCTCCGTCCCAAATTATAAGGCACCTTACGGTTTACGATGTTTGACCGACAATAAAGCAAATTGATCTCTGTCAACGTTCAAATTAGTTTTAGAAAATAAAATTTATATATTCAGAAACTACATTAAAACCGCTACAAAGCCTGCAACAAATTCTTAAAATTTCATAAAAATTTGATATATAAAGTAAGAAATTACAAGTTATTTGTATTGACCAAGTGAATATGAAAGGTATCTTATAAAACGGGACTGAGTACTAATGATTGCTTTTGAGTGGATTGATTCATTTTTATTCCTAATTTGATGTCCAAAAAATTGTCATATTCAAACATGGTTTTGGTAATTCAACAATATAATTAGTGTTTTTGTGGGAAGTTGCCTATATTATATCAAAGAAATCAAATCATATTACAATCACCTTTTCATATAAGGATGTTTTAATTTGGACTATAATTTGTTGGTCTGGTATGGTCTATTAAACGTCTGGTCTCTGTGTATCTTATAACTACGAAAGTTTAGTTTCGTCTATTTAAGCCTTGTCTGGGCTGATATGGTATGTTTAAGTCCGATATGGGATGGAAAACAGTTCAAGTAAAAATATTCTAAGACATCCTTACCCCGTCGCCAATATGTATTTTCTAATAATTTATCGGATAAACTCTTTGAAGAACTTCAAAGCTATGTTGCACGGAAATGCGAAGATCATGAGAAAACGGGAAATGAAAATTCAACTATTGCTCAAAAACGCTTGTTTGGTGTTTTTCCGAAAAGTTTTCATAGAGATTTCGAAGTGGAGACACACTCTTTCGTGAGAGTTTTTGTGCTACCTGACTTCAAAGCATACATAAATTGACTACAAGAAAAATCAAAATTAATGTAGATCGAACACAACCAAATCAGCTGAGAAATTGAGTTGCACGATGACAATCAGCACCATTGTTCTAAAACTCGCTAGGCGCTAGTCGGGCGGTTGAGGGGCGCCTAGCGCCTAGTCGGCCGACTAGGCCGATTTTTTGGCCGACTAGACCGATTTTTAGGCCGACTAGGCCGATTAGTCCTCTACGGTGAGGACCGACTAGGCCGACTAGGCCGATTTTTAGAACAGTGATCAGCACTGTGAAGTTAGAAAATCTTAATTGAATGAGAGATTTTTCAAAATAAGAGTAAGTGGAGTTTGAAATTCCTAAATAAGACTACTATATTTTTATTTCCGAAAAAACATAATAGTCCTCATTTACTCCCATTTATGACCACTTCCCTAATTGAATTCAACTAAAATAAGGACGTCCATTCAAGAAGAGGCCAAGCAAACTCTATTTAAAGCGGCAACACAACTTTTAAAGTTATTTTAAAATGGGGATTCTTTTCTATTGTTTAAATGTGTAAATTTTACGATAGTATTTAGTAACAAAAAGATATAGGTCTAAGGCAAGAGTAAATTAATTGAGAATAAATTTATTCTAAAAAATTTACATGTCTTAGGAAAGAAATTCTTTCAAAGTAACAAATACTACGTAATTATTAGTAACAAAAAAAATTCAAAAAAGAAATTATATCAGTTCAGGACATGAAGGATGAATGAACTATTAATCCGGGACCCGAAAGATGAAATGTGGTATAAAACCCGATTGATAGAATACTATCAATCTAAGACTTAATATTTCATAGGTTCAGTTTATATAATTTCTTTATTAATTTTATTGCTAATTTTTTATTAACTTTTCTTACAAAAGTTTTTTAGTTTAATAAATCTAAATAATATTTATTATTTTTAGAATAAAACAAGAATAAAACTAATGACAACTTAGGTGCTAGATTGATAATTTTCTTAAGAAATCTGTTCTTCATAGATTTTCTTCCATGTATTACGAGTTGCAGTTTTGTTTCGGATTTTTTTCCGTCTAATATATTTTAAAAGTTACTGAATTGCCTGTTCTAGTATTTCTGCTGTGCATGAAGTTTTTTATTGCAAGTATTCCGTTAGATGTGCCTGTTTGAGTCTCACTGTTTTTTTGCATTCGATTTTTTATTCTCGTATATAGAGTAATATTCGTTTATTATAGAGGTGCTTTAATGTGAGAATGTGAGGTAATGGTTTTTGCCATATTATTCGATTGATTGTTTCAGTTTATGATGAATTAAGATCAATTTTTTTCTTCAAATATGGCAGACAGATTCCTTCACTTAGGGGGGGTGAAGCCATTTATTGTAATTGTTTTGGGGCTAAGGAGGACAGTCCTAGACTTGGAGGTTGAAATGCATCTATAGTTTAATAATCAGTTGAGCCATTCAAGCATGAGAAAAAAGTAGCGATGGATCTCCCAAAGACAAAGAAGAGAAGAAGTACACGCCTCCTCCTCAAGCATGAGAAAAAAGTAGCTGAAGGTGAACCCAAGACTACCTTTGTATGTTTGCCTCCAGAAATCATCAAGCACATTCTCTCCAGGCTGCCCAATGTCAAATCAATTTTACAGTCGATGTCGGTTTGTCGTTCGTGGGAACTCTGTGCTCGTGATCCCTATGATATTCAATTGCACTTCTCTCAGAGTAGTGTTACCCAGTCTAAACTCCTCTATCTCTATTCATCTTTTAAAAATGAACTCCACTCTGTTGATTTTTCTGACATCAATGAAAAAGGACTGATTGGGTTTCATCCAGTTACCAAAGATTACAAAGCATTTTGTATACCCATCACATCAAATCGGGATGATTCTAGGTCAAGAGCCTATGTATACAGTCTGTGTAGGAATGAATGGATACCATTAGGAGAGTTGCCTTATAAAATAGACAGGTTTTGTACCGAAGGAGTTTTGGTCCATGGGAGACTCCACTGGCTTACTGTGCAAAACAAAGGGAAATCAAATCCTTTTCCTAATATAATATCAATTGACCTCATGGATTATTCTGTCAAGGAGGTTCCCATGCCTACAGAGGTTATATTTCGAAAAAGTAAGAGATCTCAACATGTTGATTTAGGCGGCTGTCTTTCGGTTGGCGTAAGAAGAAATGATTCAAGGATGCATATTTGGGTGATGAAAACATACGGAATGGAATCGTCTTGGGTGAAGCAGTATGTTTTTGGAAGCGAGTTTCTTAAATTTGATCGCAAATTTTGGTGCCTTCGTGAGGAAATGTTATTGATTGTATGCCTTCTTAATAATGAGGAAATCTTGATAAGTTAAGATGGATATTGTGATGGAACTTTGGCTTCATACAATTTTGTTACTAAAAGTTGTAAGATTCTCACTTTTGGTGGAACATTGCCCAGATATCCATTTAGGATAGAATATGACACACGCTGGTTAGCTTAAAACATCATTTGACTCACATTCAGATAATGCTTTCTTGATCATGCAGCTGCTATTGACTGATATCATTAGGTTCTGATATTCAAGAGTCAGAGGAAAAGAATTCTGTGAGGGGAAAGAGGGCAGGCACAATCATATTTGTGTCATGTATAGTACATAATGTTCTTATGTTTAGTTGATCTCTTAATTGTAGATTTGTAGTCGATGCACTAAATCTTGATGTTAATGTTCAAAGATCCTTGTCTTGAATGGATGTCCAACCTTTTTTGTTTGTGTCAGTTCTAAATTTTTATATACTAGAATGACATATAGAGTCTGTTTGGCGACTCTTGTTTTCGACTTATCAGACTTACTTTTTTGCCAAACACGTACTAGTTATTTTTTATTTCGCCGAATAGTGTAATAATAAGAAAAAGTAAGGTTGTGGTTACATTTCTGGTTGTATTGGCTGAAGTTACAATAAATGATAACTTTAGCTTTTTTAATATAATTTTTTCTTTATTTTTTAAAAAAGAAATATTTTAAATATAATTTTTTCATGAATAAGCAACTATCCAGCCACTTCTGACAGAACTTCATACTCCGTAAATTTCAGTAGAATCAACCGATCTAACCAAGTTCAGTGTTACCGTTGGCGGGTCATTATTGGCCTCTTCCCTATGAAGCATGGCAACATCAAGTGGCTTAGTAGCTCATGTTTCCCGACGTTGGAAAGCCACAAGCCACAAATTCCCATTCTGAATCCTTTTCGTCATCAAAAGGTATTGGAATTAGTAAAATTCTTAGAACATCTCCAATGCTATAATATTCATGATGCACATGTGGCATGAGTGGTGGCCACATAAATATTAACAAATAAATTATCTCTCTCTTTATTTGAATGACTTTATACAATTTTAGTAAGTTTTTCTCCACAATGTCAAGAAGACCGTCTAGATGTTGACATTGTGTTTGACATTGCAGAGAAAAGCTTACCAAAATTGTATAAATTGTTCAAATAAGGAGATAGATGATTTATTTGCTAATATTTGTGTGGTTATCTTTTGTGCCACATGTGCACCGTGCACATTATAACATTGGAGATGCTCTTAGTTAGTGTACATGAGTTGTATACAAATTGTACACAAAATCCTCCTAGCTGCTTGTGCAAACACACAATTCGTTTAAAAAAGGTCAGAATTTGATGTCAAATTGCCTGTGTACACATTTTGTGTACAACTTGTGTACGCCAAGAATGATCATTAGAATTATTCTTGCCATTTTTAATTTATACTTTGGTCATGTTTGGTAAATGGTTGATCAACTGTTTTTCAGCTTCCTTGACCATTTTTAGTTGGTTTGACCATCTAAATTATTAAAACTTATGTTTGGTAAATAGCTGTTGCATTTAGCTGATTGGTCAACAAAAACTAACTTACTAAACGCAACCCCAACACTTTCTCCTTGGCTGATTCATTTATTATTATTATTACATACTCACTTCGGTCCTAAATAAACTTTACACTTTCCTTTTTGGGTAGGTTCAAAATACACTTCACATTTCTAATTTTGGCAACTTTTTACTATAAACTTACCCTAATACCCTTACTTTAGTACCTACTTTACACTCATTTTCTCTCTCTCACAACACTTTATTTACTTTAGAAAGTCAAAACAATTTGAAAAACAAATTTTGTCTGTGAAGGACAGACAAGTGTACACCAAACGTGTACACAAAACGTGTACCTCTAGCATTTCTCAAAATGCTTAGTGTACAAGACTTGTACACAAATTGTACACAAAGCCCCCATAGTTGCCTCTTATTAAATAATATTTATGCATGTCACGTTATATTTATGTTAATATGTGTACAATTATTATCTTACTCATTTGTGTAATTCTCTCCTTGATTTGTCCTTATTTGTGTAGATTAGTTAAAGGTAGAGCTTGTCTCTTCTACTAGTTTGTATCGCTCGTGTATGTATAAATACTCCCATGTACACTTATTTTCTACGTAGTATTAATGCAAATCATACAATTCTACATGGTATCAAGAGTCATTCTCTAAAGAGCTTTTCTTCTACATTCATATTTTTTTTTCCGGCTACTCCTTTGATCATCATGGTCATTACCGCCCAAACAACCGTGATTCCCCTCACCGCCACCGCAAATTTCCCCATCAAACTCACTTCTTCCAACTTTTCGGTTTGGAAAGGCCAAGTTCAATCTGCCCTTATCCGGCTAGGACTTCAAGGTTACGTGGATGGCACCATCACGCCTCCTCAATTCACTGATGATCTCAAAACCATCCCAAACCTGTGTTATACCATTTGGTATCGTCAGGATAAAACACTCCTGAGCGCTCTCCTCGGTAGCTGTTCTAACACAATTCAACCACTCATTTCGTCTGCTACGACGGCACGCAAATAGAGAAAAAGAATTTTGTGAGGGGAAATAGGGCAGGCAGCGCCTTGTGCTTCTCTAGTTGATCTCTTAATTGTAGATTTGTGATCGATGCGGTAATCTTAATGTTAATTTTCAAAGATCCTTGTCCTAAATGGATGTCCAACCTTTTTTGTTAGTGTCAGTTCAAAGATCCATGCTATGTTTGCATAATGTATTGGTATTTGAACCACAAAATGACCATCAACATTGATATAGTTAGAGTTCTGTTGTGGGTAGAATTCTATTCTATTGGAAACAACAATACCCTAGAAATTAAAGCAAATCATATTCACGTCTATTCAACCAGGTCTATAACTGTGCTAATCCCAATTCTTCCCACATACATATTTTTGGACCTTTGGTTGTAGAGCAGCAAATCATATTCAGTTTATTCAACTAGTTAAACTTCCCATATATCATGCTGGATTTTCTGTGATTTAGATGTATCTTGGTTTATTTTCATGCAGAGATTTGTTTCATTTTTTTGTGGTATTGAAATGAGGGTGGCACATCTTTTTGTTATGTATATGTTGCTGAGATTCTAGTTATAATGTGTCTCTTAAACAGTTTGTTGGGTGTGTATTTCAGCTCAGGTCTCCAACCAAAACAACTCACACACACACCACCCCAGGATTGTTTAGCCACTCCACTCACCTTTTTTACCACTCCCTCACACTCTAACTCCACACAAAGGAAGGAAGAGGAGCTCACTGTATTGAACTCACCGTATCACTCAAAAGGGAAGAGGAGCACTCAATTATAGTAGGCTATTATTTGCTCATGGGTGTCAAAAGACAAACAAAGGTGGGGCTCGAGACAGGCTAGCAAAAGTCAGGAGGCCAAGAGACAAATAATACCAAGTCAATAAGAGTTGGCAAGGGATAGGAAAAGCCAGGCTAGCTAGATAAGTAACAGTGTAGGAAGTAGGAATAAACATAGGGTGCAGGCCTTAACATAATAAGTGGAAGGGAGGCCTTGGTAGGACCAATATCTCCAACATTCTCCACCTTATTGGTCCTAGGTGGTGTAGAGTAACAAATACACGGTTGTGAGGAGACTCATCATCGCTGAACCATTACAAGTACATCATTGTGATCATACAAGTAATAGATGAGAACCAAAGTTCCCTTTCGGACCAAGCTTACCGTGCAAACCCACTTCACGATGGACTGAACTCTACCAATCGGTCCTCGAGTTCAGAACCAAAACCATCACAAAACTATTAACAAGCACAACACATGTTAATAGACCACGCAAGCAAGCATCCGGGAGAAGTTGGGGATTCCAACTAATCCAACAACCACACAAAGCAAGTACACAGAAAATAAAAGAAACAATATTATTTCTATTACTAGCACAGGTAGAGCTCACATAATCACTTGGTATCACATTTTCAAAACACAAAGAAAATAGCATACCAAATATCACAAAGACTTTAATTAATAGAGAATTAAGCACATTTAAAGCAAATTCAGAGGAAATATAGTCAAACACATTGCACATATTATTTCTCACATGCTTCCTAATGTCTCTATCTCTAATAACATGGCAATCACGCAACTCAAGCAGATTGCACACAACATTCATATCATGCTCCACCTTAATAGAAATATTATTTTCTTTATTTTCACCATGAAAAACATTTTCATCCACAAATTTGGGTTCGGTTTCAACAAGTAAATCAGAATGAATATCAGGCAAATGCTCCACCTCATTTGGAGCAACATCAGGAGAAACAAGCAGGCAAGGAAATTCATTTTCAACAAAAATGACATTTCTACTCATCAACACATTGAAGCAAGTTTCACTCCTACACCAAAGCCTATAACCATTCATGCAATCATGATATCCTAAGAAAACATATTCCTTAGTCTTAGGTTCAGATTTATCATTCACACGATTCACATAAGCAGCACAACCAAACACTCTCAAATATGGCAAGTCAAGTGGTTTGCCCGTGAACACAGATTCAAGGCATTTCCCTCCTAAGGGAACAGACGGGGACATATTAACCACATCAACAGCATAACAAATAGCTTCCCCCCAGAACTTATTAGAGAGCCCAGATGAAGCTAACATAGCCCTCACCCTCTCCAATAAAGTTCTAACCATCCTCTCAGCAACCCCATCCGGTTGGGGTGTGGAGGGAACAGATTTATGCATAGAAATACCCCACGTATCACATAAATCACTAAGCTGATCATCACAGAAATCAAAACTGACAGTGGTCTTTAAAAAATTTATTTTCTTACCGGTTTGTTTTTCAACAAGGGTTTTCCAGTTTTTAAACTTATCAAAAACTTTAGATTTATTCTCAATCAACAAAACCCACACTTTCTTTGAAAAATCATCAATCAACGTCAGAAAATAATTTTTCCCACCATGAGTGGAAACACTATAAGGACCCCACAAGTCAGCATGAATACAATCAAGCACATCAGTACATTTAGGCAGATCAGGAAAACCAACTCTAGACTGTTTTCCTAGCACACAGGGTTGCACACAATTCACAGAATCAAGTAGGGGTTCATCATGACAAACATATAAGTTGTTTTTCATCTCAGCTTTGAAAACAACTAAACAACCCTTCACAACTTTCATGATTCCCTTTCCCCATTTTCCCTTCAAACCCTCATTTTCAAGAGAAGCACAAGATAGCAAATTACAGCACAGCTCAGGAACATGCCTAACATTCTTCAAAGTA